TTGCCAGTGGGCTATTTGAGGTACATAAGGTGTGTGAATTCTGACTTAACTTAGGTAAAATTGATGACACAATAGACAGACTGTCGAGGTGGCAACGTCTTAGTCGAGAAGTGCCCTGATATAAAGTGAGATAGTGAGGCAGCCATACAGGAATTAAATTGTTCAGAACTTTGTGGAAAAAAATAAGATCATTCAAGTCAAACTTTTGAGACAAAGGGAGAATGTCGACAAGCTTGCACTTTTTGACATATTGCTCAGGTGGATAACTGCGGCCCTCTTCAGACAGAATCCATTTAATAGCTCTCTTTTGGAGACTTTCTAATTTATCACTAAGTGATTTATTACAAGGGCGCCAGATTATGGAACAATTTTCGAATTGGCTACGAACCAGGGAGAGGTAAAGCGCCCGGCGACGTTTCTGATCAATGACAATATGGCCATCTCTTCTGACCATACCAAGTTGTTGGCAGGCCTTAGTATAAATTCTGTCGCACTGACTATTCCAACTGAGCTTAGGAGTAACATCGACTCCAAGATCTTTTTCTAACTCTACATACACAAGAGGAGAGCCATCAAGATTATATGCGAATGGAGGAGATAAAGATGGTTTTCCTGAAACAATAAGCACTTTACATTTTGCTGGATGGAATCGCATTTTGTTTCTAAGTGCCCAGTCAGAGAGATAGTCTATATCCATTTGTAAATTAGTATTATCAGAAGATGAATGTATTTTACGCCAGATTTTTGTATCATCGGCATACAAAACAATATCAGTATTATCCGAAAGGCCAAGAGGAATATCATTGATAAACAATACAAAAAGTAAAGGACCAAGGATAGAGCCCTGGGGGACACCAGAATTAACTGAGAGGGTAGATGACATCTCATTACCAATAACCACTCTTTGGTAACGGCCTTGAAGGTAATTGGTAAGAAATTTGAGAAGTGTACCATCAATGTTATATAAGGTCTTTAGCTTATGAAGAAGGATATCATGATTTACAGAATCAAATGCCTTAGCAAAATCAAAATACACAACATGATTGATAATGTTTTCGTTAAGAGACAATGCCAGGCTATCACAAAAATCAACCATATTGGTTGTGCATGACTTGTGCTCTAGAAAACCATGCTGCCTGGGATCAAGAAGGGTACTTGTCAAAGAAAGCAGTTTACGTTTAACAATGCGCTCAAAAACTTTCATGACTAAACAAGTAAGGGATATTGGTCTATAGTTTTCAACCTCACTTTTCTTACCTTTCTTAAATATTGGGACAACATTTGCAAGTTTCCATTCTTGTGGAATGTAGCCACTGTTGTAGGATCCACGAAAAATGCATGTTAGAGGGTAAGCTAAACCTACGGAACAATTTTTTAGAATTTTACCGTGTATGCCATCTGGTCCCTGGGCTTTATTTGAATTAATATTTGAAAGAAGCTTACGAACATCCCGATGATCGAAGTCAATATCAAAATCAACATCATTGACATAGGAGATGTCAGTGTCATAAAGTGAAGGATCCGAAAACTGGTTATAAAAGAAAGAATTGAAAAGTTCAGCTTGATCTTTGGGATTGAACCGAAGCTGTCCAGAATAACTAACACAATTAGGAATACGGCAGGAGTTAGATTTATACTTAACATGTGACCAAAACTTCTTAGTTATAAGCGCTGGATCATCACTATTAAAAAGATTATCTCTTATTTTGGCTGATGAGAGCCTCTTAAAATCTTTACGGCTAGTAACAAACTTTAACTCATCAGAAATAGAACCAGAAATTTTAAATTTAGCTCTGAGTCTATCTTTTTTACGGCATGAAGAAAAAAGTTCACTATCGAACCACGGGGGTTGGAACTCTGATTTAATAATTACTTTAGGAATATGTATATCAACTAAATTCATAATGCAGTCTTTAACTAACTTCCAAGACGAATCAGGATCTAGGCATTCTAGGACTTGCCAATTAATCGAGCATAATTCACGATTAATCATGTCCCAGTTTGCTTTCTTAAAATTATAGATTTTACGTTTAGGAGTTTTCTTACGGGAAAAGGAGCTTTTAATTGAAAAAGTGACAGGAAAATGATCAGATTTGCACACGGAATGAGGATCACAGACATTCAAGTTATCGATTGTGTTATCATAATTACTGAGAAGAATGTCTAATGTATTACCACTTTTATGGGTGGGTGATGTGATCAACTGGGAGAGAGAAAGATCACTGAAAGAATCTATGAAGGATTGCTCAATAGGTACGGTACTGGATGAAGATAGCCAGTCTATATGGGGGAGATTAAAATCACCAATAACATAGATTTTAGGGGGATTCTTTTTGGAAACTAGCTTGCGAATATAACTAACTATGACATCATGATTAGGTAACCCAAGAGTTCCTACTCTATAACAAGTACAGATTACAATACTCTCTTTGTTAGGAAAAGAAATTTTAACGGCAAGCATTTCTGCACCTAGGCTAACTGGTAGTCGGGTTGTAGTGGCGTCGAGATCAGACCGAACAGCCAAAAGAACACCACCTCCATTTTCCCTAAACTTTTTAGGGTTATTAGGATCTTGAGGATGAGTCTTTCTCGTGCGGTCATTGCGGAAGATTTCATATTGAGAAGAAGGAAAGATTTCGTTGCTAGAAATAGATTTTTTGAGCCAAGTCTCATTTAGGGCAATTATGTCAGGCTGCTCTATGTTAGCAAAGGATTGAAGTTCGGAAATCTTATTACCATCAAGAAGGGGATGGGAGGAGCTTAGGTTACTGAAAGGAATGAGACCTTGGACATTTTGGTAGAGTACAGATAGGGAGTTGGGACCTGGATTAAGCATAGAAGGATTAACAAGAGTTATCAAAAGAAAGTTAAGAGAGAAAACCCAAAGAATGAATAAAGAGACTAGACGCCCGAGGCGGCTGGAATACTTGACTCTATTCATCTTACCAGGGAGAAGAACATTTCTTATAAACCATGAGGAGATAATTACAAAGAAAAGTTTGATGTGGGAGCAAGCAAGAAATGGTATAAGATAACGTGGGCTGTCAAGGAGTAGAGAGGAATGAATATTAGAATCTAGGGGGAATACGGTGTTCATGGACCTAACCGTGGAGAGAAGAATTGGGAGAAAGTAAGTCATGATGAGAGAATAGAAGAGAAACATATGATTATGATAATTGTAGTTGATGTGTGGGGTGTATGGATACTTAAATGTGTAAATTTTGTTAGGTATAAACGTGTTGATATGTATAAGTGCATTTCTTGACTGTGTACGAGGCCTTTTGCATGCAAAAAGACCTATTCTAAGTCTAAACGATTCATTGTCTAACATATTGGAAAATGGACAGTGACCGAATGTACCTGAAATGGGAGGCATAAAATTGAGAAAAAGATTAAATCAGAGATTTGTTTGAGTTTTAATTTTAGGCGCAACGTCTTAATCAAAATATTAAATGGAAGAAAAGATCAAAGATTTAAATTCCCAGAAGATTATTTACAACCCTGTCAAAACTGTGTTCGTTTACAACAAACTTAAGCCAAGTGGACAGTAAACCTACTCCTCTCATGTTGAGATGAAGCCAATCATGGTATAGAAGTTCATTACATGATCTAAAGTCTCGAGTTAAAAAGACTGAGAAACAGTCTAAGAACACGCAATTATTATTTAGGCATAAGTCTTTAAGTAGATTATTAAAATCTAGAACATTCTTTGCTATGTAGGAATATAAACATTTAATAGGAAGACAACATTGGATAATTATAATTGCAGCGGGAAATAACTGCTTAGTGGTGTCAATTAATTCAGTAAGATACTTCCTAAGGAACTGAACCCCATTCTTAGAATGTTTAATGTCATTTGTACCAACACTCAATATAATTTTTTCAATATCGTCAGCTTCTGCAGCTGCATGAGTTTTATGAAAATTATGAATGTTTTCAGTGATGTCTCTAATTTTTGCACCACTTTGAGACACATTGATTACTTTCCTTCCCCGGAATCCCAACTTATTTGTCCGTACGAATTTTGTCATTGACGTACCAAACAGGACAGTGGTTTTTCCTGCTCTTCGGTTTTCTTGGAGTATTTCGGTAGTAAAGGGTTGGTGTTGAGGTGGTGGTGGGCGGCATAGGAATTGTAGTGCGGGCAATCTGCTCCTTGACTACATTTGTATCTGTCTTCGGTATCTGGCAGCGAAAAGATAAGCTATACCGAGTCCCCTTAACTGAGCTCTCTGCACGAACCTTGTGAAGACAATATTCCTGACACCCCGGTTTCATAATATACAAACTACAGTCCTTTGGGGTGATATAGCATTTACTGTTACATCGCTTATCCCCATTTTCTGGAATTATGTCGATGGTCCTCTCAGCTCCAAATGAAACTACATAAATACCTTGCGACTGGTCAAGAGACACCTCGTCGTCGTTGTGGTACCTAGTTGCACAAGAACCAGACTTGTACATGCTTGCTAGGCATGAGTTTAGCTTGCAGCCAAACTTGGAGTTGATATCATGCATAAGCTCTGATATCCCAGGATAATTTAAAATATCGATTGGCTCCTTAGTCGTGGTGTGTCCATTTGAGGAAGACCATACATATTCTTCTCCAGTCGAAGTGAGCCACTTTGTGGCAGTTTTCACAGCAGTTTGCTTGGCCATAAGTGTTTCAAGTTCAGACATCAACGTGCCATGTTGAACACTCTTGTTCTGAACAAAATCTGAATGCAACTCCAAGAAGTCCTCGCATTTAACAGAATTTCTCTTAAGTTTCATGACATTCTCAACACTGGCCTTGAGAGCTTTCAGCTCATTTAATGAAAACGAGTTTAAAACATTGGTAACAGAATTCAGATCCATAGTGATGTGAGGAAGAGGGAGGAGAAAATGGCGGTGAGGGAGGAGAAAATGGCGAAGTCAATACTGTAGCCCAGGAAGTAGATGCGTTGCTTAGGATACAAACGGTCACGTCATAGTCTCTTCTATCGCTTTGACATTGGGACCTAAAATTATTTGTTATATAGTAGTGTTGAAAGTATTATTTATATTATAGAAAAGGTATAATATACTCCAGTTTCATGGGGTATAATATTTCTTATTTTACTTTATCTCTCCCTAAATAATAATTGTGAAGTTTAATTAAATTTGAAAAACTGAAAAAATGGAAAAATGGAATGGAAAATAGTCTCGAAAAGTCGAAAAAATGTGACTAAAATTGTTGTAGACAAAACATTTGTGACTAAAATTATGGTAATCAAAATTATGGTAGCCAAATTTATTGTGAACTAAATTTATTGGCCCTTAGGTAATATAATTAAGTTACCATGTATTTTAATTAGGGTCATCTCGATTTTGTAAGGATAGCAAGTGCTTTTTAAGGTTGGATTTAATAATACCTGACGAGGCTGATAGTGATAAGTCTGAATTTTTTTCTCAGAATATACTAAAGCATTGACGGATGCGGAGGGCCAGTTTTCTTCAACATTGGAAGATGACGTACAATCACAGCTGACAAAATTCAAGGAAGAAATCTCGGAACAGAAGGGCACTCAAACTAAGAGTATTTCAGCTAATCTAGCTTATATCAAGTAATTTGAATATTGATTTAACATCTAATCAATCAATTTAATTAACAATATTTTCCAAGTTATAGACGAGGTTTATTCGCTCGTCACAACTATGATCATGTGATGGCACTTTTAATATCATGGAGCGGGGGCCGGGGGGAGCAGGTACTAAGTGTATGATTCCCCCCCCCCCCCCCGCATGAAGCGGCCGTTTCCGCTGAGCCCTCTCCTCACATCTAATAATCACAGAGATTTGATGTTTCTTAAAGTGAAGAAAGTAGAAGATGATGCTGAGGATGATGTAGAAGATGATGCTGAGTATGATATAGAAGATGTGAATGAGTCTCTTAGAACAATGACCGAAGAGGGTCCTGGAAAATATGCAGTGTTTGGTAAGAGAAATAAAGCATATTTACTGCGTTTATCACGCTGTATACTGTACACCATGTGCATAGTTTATCATACTGTATACTATTATACACCATGTGCATCTAGGTAAACTATAGGTAAAAATATAATATTAATCATAAGCTAAAATGTACTAATCTTTGTATTCTAAATGGGGAAAAAGAAGAAACATTGTCAGTCAGTCGAGAAAATTGTCAGTCAGGCTATATGGCAGCTTTGTCGATGTTGTGACTATGCTAGTAGTGGTCCCAGGCTTGCGACTGGAATTGCGGTGTTAAATCGATTTAATGGTATACCAACGATCCACCTCCCACTTGTTGTTTCGTACTTAGCATTAATAGTGTTAGCTGTAGCCATTTATAGCAAGAATCTTAAAACTAAAGGGGATGACAAGGAAAAGAGGAAGGAAAAAGAATAACGGAACAAACAATTAATTAAAGTATTTATAGGAGCATTAGTTATTGTAATTACAAGCTTCAATAATAAATCACTGACTAAAACTTCTAATTAAAATGACACTTGGTACGCTCGCCCATTTTCACTGGTCAGTCTGAACTTCGGTTTAGCACGTTGTACACTTATTCACCTAAGTTTCAGAATTTGTTCAGTTTAGCAGAGTTAGTACCCTTGTTTCAATAAATCAAAAGATATCAGGGGAGTTCTTTAATAATGTTATGGTCATCTAGAATACCGAACTTCCTGAAAACGTTATCATATTTCCTCAGACAACGTTTAATGCCTTTAATCAGTCTATCACGGCTATATCCTCTATCAATTAGAATTTTGAATATTTTGTGAAGATGGGAGGTAAAGATATCCAATCTAGTGCAAACATTACCATATCTAAGAACTTGACTTGAAAAAACGTTGTAGCCAACCTCGGTTGGGATGTTACTGTGAGGAAATGTAAGGGATACAACATGAAAATTAAAATCATCAGTTTTGTTATACACTGATATTTCTAGTCCTTCTGTGGAAATATTAATATTTAAATCAAGGTAGTTAATAATCTTATTATTGGAACCAGCTCGCTCCATCTCCAATGAGTTAGGATAAATATCTTTAATCAATTTATGAAAGTAAAGGTAGTTAATAATAGATAAATCGTCAACATATCGTTTATTATTGGATAATATCTTTGCTAATCCCATTTTCTTTTCCTGAAGTAAACGTTTCATATAATTAAATTCCTTTTTGCCAACAGTGAGATCAGCTATAGGGGAACTTGAATTTCCACCCATAGGAATACCCTTGGTTTGTATGAATACAATCCCACCGAAGACGACATAAGTGTTATAAATAATAAATTTAACAGCCTCTTTTAGGTCATCTTGACTAAGCATGCATGAGAATCATAGGTTTTATTGGAAAAGAAACATGTATTACTGTCTCTTTTAGAAATACAAATATATCTATTACGGTCTGAAAATATTAAATTAACAACTTCATTAATCATATTCTCTACTTCAATCAAGTCTAATCTGGTATAAAGAGTAGTAAATCATATACTTGTATATTAAAACATCGCTATTTTTGATAGCTTCAAGGAATTCACTTGAGGAATCTATGCTCCAAAACATGTTTATACCGCTGTTGTTGTAGATTGCCTCGCAGTATTTCTTGAAGTATTTCCTCAAAAGTTTCAGACAACAGTTAACTTGGACGTTAAGTTGTTTCGTTACGCAAAAACGGGCACCTGCAATGAACCTCGCCTTGTAAGGGTTCTTATGAAGCTTAGGGTTCCAGAAGATGCGTGCTAGTCGCAAGTTTTTATCTTCAACTTGTACATTAAAATCTCTCCTTTAGACTCTCAGATATTTTATTGACATAATGAGTCTCGTCTTCGCTACAGGGTTTATATGTATCATTACCTATACATTCTAGAGTATTAGGATCAAAACCCATTTCATTGACAAGAGTTTTTACATAAAACTTTTTACAAATAAATGAAAAATTACCAGAAGCTTTGTCGATACTACAAATAATGTATTTACTTTTCAGCAATTTAAGACTTCTTTTAACATCATCTTTTTCCAGTGTGTTTTCTTTTATTTCAAATGTTTCAGGAAAGTTTTTCTTGTAATATTCAATACGATTGGAAACTATTGATAACACTTTTTCCTTCCAATCGCTGAACTTTACTTCTTTTTGACAGTACTTTCTACTTTTTGATTTTATAAATTTATCGACAGCTTCGGTAACTGACATATATATCTCATCTGGAGATTTAATTGTGGGAATTCTGTATTTACAACCGTAGGAAAGTATTTCCCTAAGTGTTGCGATGTGTTGCTCTAACTACAATTTTTGAGCACAGCGCGATCGCGCTGTGCTCAAAAATTGACGTCGACAATCAATCAACATCAAGATTTTAGTTTTACATTTGACCTTTATGTCAAAGTCCTGTGACTTCGTCCTTACTTCGTCACAGGACGATCGGAGCTCGAAGAGCGTAGAGAGTGCTGGCGTCGTCCTGTTATGGTCGACGTATTTTTGCTTGCTGGGATCCGGCCGAATGACGCCACATGCAACGTGTAGGGTAAAACTAAAAACGCTTCCCTATATGAAATAATATGACAAAAATTGTTTTGGTCACGTGACCAGTCAATGACATATGATATTTCGCTGCTGACGGTTTGGTGGAGGGTTAGGGTCAACGTTTATACATTATAGGGTCAAAGTTAGGACTAGAGTTGTACACTATTGACATTGTGAGGGTAATGGTTAAGGTTTATCACTAGCGACCTTTTCATCTGACCACAATATTGCAAAATGCTATGTTGTATGTCACGTGACAAATTTAGCCGAGGGTCGGAAGTCGGAAGTCGGAAGTCGGAAGTCAGTGGACTCTGTTGGAAGCCGGCGGACTCCGAGCGGAGTCCGCCGAGCCCGGTGGACTCCGCCAAGCTCCGCCGGACTCCGCCGGATTAAAGTCCGGCGGAGAGGTCCGCCAGAGTCCGCCGACCACTCCGCCGGAGTCCGCGGCGGACCGGAGTCCGCCTAGTGGCTTAGTCCGCGGCGGACACTCCGCCGACCCGCCGCGGAGCCGCTCGGAGTCCGCTCGGCTCCGCTTGGAGTCCGCCAAAATGTATTCGAGTCCAAACGAAATACATTTTGGCGGAGCACCGCCGGAGTCCGCTCGGAGTCCGGCGGCTCCGCCGCGGACTCTACTCCACGACGGATAGTGCCGATGCCAAACCAAAAAATTTGATTTCTAGAACACTCATTTCTGTAATCGACCATTTCCTGGTAAAAGTGCAAATGTCAAAACATAGGAATGTGCTAGAGACTTTTGGAAGGGTGCAAAATAACTGCAAATTTTTTGGGTTGGAATCGGTGCGCTAGATGCAGGTCACACCGAGTTCGAATCCCACTGTCTGCCTGGTCGTGGGGTGAGCGTCGTTGACGTTTAGCTAAGGATCCTGAGTGGTCTATGCAGCCCCTCGGTGAACCGTCACAGGCTTCCTGTAATTCACTAGTAATTGGCTGGTTGCACTTGTGTAACAATGTTATACACCGATCAAGTAAAATAAGTGTTTTTTAAAGCTGGTCCTGAATGACTACCTTGTCGCCTGTCGGACCGTATTTGGACGGACATTAAATGAACGGACATAATTATGAACGGATATTAATATGAACGCTAGAACTAGAAGGCATTCAAAACCATCAACAATCCGAATTTTTTCTTTTTTTTTGACGTTTTTTATTTCAGCAAATGATTTTTAAATCCATTTTTATACAGTAAGTAAGAAAAGCAGTCGTTAAGCAGTAAAAATGTTAAAATATGTGTACATGATTAGTGTCTAATATCACATATTATCTTCATTAAATGGGTCTTCGTGCATGAAATAGTACATGCTTAAACTTAAAGCATCAGTGATTTCTAGCTTTAACTTTAAGTTTATGGAAACCTCTTTTTATCAAACTACCCCGGTCCTGCATTTCAGTGTTAACTTTTACTTACCTGGGGACCTCAGGCAATCATGTTCATAATAGAGATTCGGCGGAATGACAGGCTGAGCGCGGCCCAGTAAACTTTTACAAGC